TCCAAAAGTCCACCCTTCCCTGGCCAGTGTGCCTACCTGTAGACCCTCTATAGATTTGTACGAAGGCCACCTTCCCTACCTTCTCTTCAATGTTCCAACTGAGGGTTCTGCACGTAATCTGTTGGGGAATACCACTCATATATAGATGTGGCCTGGTCTCCGGCCAGACCTTCCCTCTAGCGGACCGTTCTTCCCTCCTCTTTTCATAGGCTTGGACGGTCCTTACTTTTTTGGTTTGCGTCACTCTCCTGGTCCTAACGCCAATCCTCTGCACATCTGGTCTTAGATGCAAGTCTATCTCTACACCACCCCTGTCCATTGGACGTGGGGACTCCCTTCTTAGAGAGGCCTTTTCCTCCTCCTTTGCTGTCTCTTTCCCAACTGGGCCCAACGAACCATGCTGTGCTTTACTAGGGGATACGCTCTCTCCTTTACCCGGCCTTCGGGCCAGCTTCTCCACTTGGTTTTCTAGTTGGCTCAGTCTTTGCGAGTGGAGCTCCTGGCATCGGCTCCACTTCTGCTCCCAGTGTTCTAGGAGGGCTGATTGGATCTCTCTAAAGCCAGGCCTCCCCCGCCGGCTCTGTGAGGCTCTGCTCCCGGGTGTTGCTCCCGGCTTGTCCTGGCCCAACTTGCTCACCAGAGCACTCCAGATTTTGGTTACCCAGAGGTTCCTCCTTCCCCGGACCTTGTAGAAGGATAGCCCAGATGTCTTTAACTTGTGCCTCAGTTTGTCTTAAGGTTTCTATGAGCAACCCCCTCTCCTGGAGTTCCCATTGTGTGGTTCTCCCATACTCCATTAATTGGCTTTCAACAGCCTCCAACTTCCTCTCTGGGCTGTCTGCGACCATCATGGTTTGTGATTCCTGTTCTCTCCTGCTTGCCTCTCTACCTCTCTCGACCTCTTGGAACTGACTGAGTTCCCAGGCTGTTTGGCTATTTATCTCTAGGAGCTTTTGCTTGTTGCTTTCTATCTTCTGCAGCTCTTCCTTCAGGGCTTGCAGCTCCATCTGCAACTGGCCCTGTTCAGTGATGAGGTATGTCTCTTTGGCCCAGCTCTCCCTTAGGAGGGTTTCTAGTGACTTACTCTGTTCCCCTAAGTGGTCTAGTCCCTCACTCATCTTTTGTATCTCCCGCTGTAACTGGGCCTTGTCTGCGGCTATGCCTGCCTCTCTGGATTGGCCATTCTCTAGAAGGGTTTCAAATGACCGAACTTGCTCCATGAGCTGATCTTTCTCGGTCTCTAGGCTCTGGACCCGAGATCTCAGCTCAGTGTACAGTGCACATTTAGCAAACCTGCCTTTCTGGTATCCAACTAGGCCCACGTGTTTTCTGCACATTATTTTGTGATATAAAGAGCAAAGGACACAGCAGCTGCTGAGTGTCTTCTTAGTCTTTTCCTTAGGCTCAACCTACCTCATTCTCTTTTCCACAAATGTTTTAGTATTCTATTGATCTCTTCCTAACTGATTAAAAAAATACCTGAGTGAAATGCAGAATTGGAGTCAGGGGGAGTTCTACCATTGATTTCAACACAGCTATGATTTCACCTTCTGACTGCATTAAATTACACTGCACCAAGCATTGGTAGAGCACTGAAGTCTGACTACAGGCAAGCAGAAGAGAATCTTTGCCGCACAGGGGATATTCCTTTTAGTACAATCCAGTATTAACACCAGCAAGACTCAGATCAGAGTCTGAGTTAAGATGGCTTTCTTTCAAATGAGCAAAATCCTTTCTACCTATCTAGGAAGATTCACTGCCCCCTGGCCACTGCACAGTATCACCTCACACACGAATGAACTTACCCTTGCATCTCTGGGAGGCTCAGAAGTACCATCTGGCCATACATTTTTTTTTAATTATGGAAAAGGAGCTTAGCAGCTTGCCCAGAGTCACGCAGGATGACTGAAACTGAACTTTTACCTTCAATGTCATCCCTGTGCCTTAACCACCCTTTCCTTGGTGGTTTCAACCTTTCCCTTGTATCATTTGAATTATAGGTGTGAGAATTAAAATGCCACACTCTTTCAAACAGGACTACAGCAAAAAATAGCTAAAGCCATACACTTTAATGGCCTGGGCATAACTTTATTGAGGTCTAGCACCAGTGTTTGGCTGGCAGAGAATTAGAGGAATAATGAGGGGAAAAAAATAAAATGATGTAAATGGGCTCTCTGAGCATGCTCAGTAGACATCTGCTCAAATTTTAGCAATCTAAGATCTGCCATTTTTTGCAACAATACACATTTGCACTGGCTGGCGGCTGCTGCCACACTTAAGCTACTGCCAGCCTGAACATTGTTCAAAGAAGTATTTGCTTCACTGAAACATACATAGCTCCCTCAAATAAAAAACAAATCACTGTAACCATCAGGAAAAGCAAGAGAAAAAAAAACATAAAGAACAACAGTTGCCCTTCTGATTTTAAGCCTTTTCTACCATGCAATCTGCAGATTTCTGACATTTCTAAAATTGTGTCTTTTGCAATGCCACACAATAAATTAGATGTGATGTAGCTCAATGTCAGGGGTGGGCAAAATGCAGCCCGCCAAGCCATTCTATCTGGCCCACGGGGTCTCTAAAAAATTTAGAAAATTAATATTAATCTGTCCTGGGCTGCCTGTCATGCAGCACTTGACGGCTTGCCAAAACTCAGTAAGCGGCCCTCTGCCCAAAATAAATGCCCACCCCTGCTCTACGTCCCCCGCCTCTGACAAAAATTCCCCCCAATCATATTTCTCCATCTTCCCACCATTCACTTTCCTGAGGTGTGAATGTTGACATTTCATGGGTACCATTCAAGTGCTAATTACACCAGAATTTTTTCTTTCCTGTATTTTTTTTTAAAGGAAGATAATTACATGGAAAGAAACTATGTCAATTTAGCCCTTATATTCACAGAAAGTGTAAAAGCCTCCAGCTGCAACGTGAGGGCTCCTATACACATGCAGGGAGGCTGCTCAGGCACACTGTAATTACAGCATGTTGGAGCAGACTCGATTAATTGAGAGCTGGAATGTGGTAATTACCACACTCCAGCAGACTCCAGCATCATGTGCATCAGTGTCCCTGCACTGAAAAAATGGCAACAGAGCACTTTGAACTAAAGTTCATTGAACAAGCTTTATTTTAAAGTGCCCTGCCGCCATTTGTCAGTGTGGGGACGCTGATACACGTGATGTTCTGGGCACTTTTAATTAGTGCAGCTCCCAGAACTACACTAAATAAAGTGTTTCCTCCCCCATCCCCTCCCCCCCACCTCCCAGAGCACATCTATAAATGCCCTCAATGTCTTCCAGATCTGAGACATGGATTTTCTACTTTCTTTCATTGGTGCTGCTGTTTTACAGCCACTGTGCATATGTGTGAAAAACTACTCAAAAGTGAAAGACATAGGAAAACTGGTCCCCATTCCTCAGAATGTGCATTTCTTTCTGTTTAAGTGCATACATTAGTTTTATAGGCTAACATTTGACCTGAAACATGAAATAACACAGGTACCATTGGCTTGAATGAGGGGACCTGTTGGGACCATAACATATTTTTTCCCTGTGATTTTAACAGTGAAACCTTGACACGCATTTACGTAATGTTTGGCATTTAATTTTATGGAGGTTCCATTTAAATGCACAGACTCCATAGGAAAATGCCATGTGGAACTGTAACAAATGCCTTATTCAGACTGAAATACCTCCAAGGCTAAGGCATCTTCTCATGTGCTAATGTATTAAATAAACAAAAAATTGTTTGACACTATCTGTTTCGGGTTAACTCATCTTGCCTAGTCTTTATTGCCCTATTTTCCCTTAGCTAGTCTCAAGTCCTGCCCAGGTCTCCAATGTCACAATACCTCACGTATTGCGGTAGAAGGGGTAGAGACCCCTCCTATTCTGTAGTGGGGTCACTTTGTCCTCAAGCTGCAATGCAGTAGCAGAGTGGGCCTGCTAACTGCTTCAGTCATTCATCTACAAACTGGCCGGGAAGCACAGTTAAACTCCCTAGGGTGTAATCCCAGGCGTGCCTTCTGTCTATGACATACTACGTTCACTCTTCGCCATCGTCTGGAACTGTGCCTGGACTGCTCCACAAGATCCCCTAAGGAATTGCTAATGTTTTTAATATTCCTCTACAGAACGAATTGTCACTGAGCCGTGTTAATCTGAATAAGTGAGAGTCACTTATATGCTCTTCATCCTGTTACATCCTGAGACTGCCATGAGCTCTGTCCCTTTCTTCAGTAACTATGATTATATTAAGCATCCTGTCAGTCTTAGCCTTTAAAATTGACAACGGAAACCTAACACCTACTTGGTACTGCAGCCTCCTTTATTGGAGCTTATGATATGCTATTGGCTCTCCTTGCCTGGTGTGTTGGTGACCTACCTGAGTGCTTTCTTTTGTCAGCTCTAGTTTCATACATACTTATAAACCATTTAGCTTGTTCCCTTTGCTAACACCCTCACATTTTGTGCCTTTCCCTTTGACTGCTTCAACTTGTCTTTAACTCTTCAACTTCTTCTTTATTTTTTTGCCATTTTCTATACGTGCTATTCCTTTTTTCAGTGCCAGGCTGTACTGTCTCTGGTAAAGCCACGTTGCTTTTTTCCAGGGCAGAAGGCAGGGATACCAAAAGAACTGCAACCCCCAGTCTGTGCAATTAAGTGTGAAGTAAAAGTAGGGAGGGAGAAGGGTGTCCCAAGGTCATTAACTCTGCACCCGGAATGCCTGTCTCAGGTGTGAGGAAGAGAATTGAAGAGTGCATCCCCTTGGTGTGAAGAGAGGCCATTTAAGGAATGCAAGGATAAATCACTCTAGATTAAGAAATTGTCTTCTCCTGTGTGCCTTAAAAGCGAGTTCCCATCTCTGTAGTCACAAACACTTCCTTAGCTGAAGGGTACAAGCTCTTGTATCCTGATTGAGAAGTCTCCTGTGCTTCATGCAACTCAACCAAGTGTTTCTTTGGTTGTGGCAGGTCCTCAGCTGGAGAAGTAAGCTGTTTTAGCCGCTGTGGAAAGACAAGCAGACAGAGAAGACTCTTGTTAATTAAGCTGCTAAACAAAGTAACACCCAATACCAATCCACAACAATTGCTGTGGGCAAAGGCATTTAGAGAGCTATTCTTCTCCACTTCCTAGCCTTCTCTGTACACACACAATTTATTTTTTTATACATGTACTGTGCGTGTGTGTGTGTAATCTCTCTCTCTCTCTCTGTATATATATAAAAATAGAAACTAGTTTACTTTTTGACCTTTAAAGAGTTCTCAGCCATCATTATTTCACCTCCATGCTTGCAGCATTGCTATTTGTTTGCATCCTGGGGCATATTTATCACAGGGTACATCAGACCAATAATTATGGGAGGAAGATGATCTATGAATTACTACATAAGGACTCAGAATTCCCTTCTGTGGCTTCAGATGAGTTCTCTTAATGTCCATTTTTCCTAAGGTACTGAACAGTCAGACCTCCTGATTTGTTTGCGGTTCCTCTGAATTTATCAGACTTCCAGGGCTCAGTCTGAAGGGCTCATCACCCACAGCTCCAACTAACATCAATGATCTTAAATCAGGATCTAAAAGTCTTAGTCCTTCATTGTCCCCATCTGCAGGGCAGGGTTGGTAAAGGTATATCTATGGTAGAAGCGCTGAACTGGCATAGCAAGGCTAGTGTACAATAAAGGGAAGGTACTCCTTATACCAGGGCTGTCCAACTTCTGAGCAGGTAGGAGCCACAACTTCCTTGGATACACTATGCAGGCCACACATCCCCAGGACTCCATGACGTGCCACGCTGCGTGTCCCTCCCATAAACATCACAGATACCCCCCACCCTACACTAACACACCCATATCCTACACACCACACCACATGGGTCCCCCCACACTGTGCCACATAACAGGAGTCCTCCCCATAAGCACTGCAGATGCCTCCCCCACTCCCCATCTGTATTGTGCCTGTGCTCCTGCCCTGCACTGTGTGGGGTCCCCAGGTCCCTCCAAGCCATCCAGCAGTAGGCTCCCGTGGCTCAACCCCAATGGGTGCAGAGATGGGCAGCAGAAACTGGAAAGGGAGGGGGAGTCTAGAGACTCCAGCTCCCCCAGTGGGGAACTCCAGAAACAGCTGGAGCAGTGCCCAGAGACTATAAGCTACCCTTTTAGGATCACATGTGGCCTGCAGGCTGCCAGCTAGACAGCTCTGCCTTATACAGTCACAGCTAAACTGCAAAGGTTTGCTTTGTGTCTCTCTGGTATCCAGCCCTCACCCCCAGTGAGCAAAACAGTCTGCACTGGAAAAGGCAGTTTTCCTGGTATAACTGTCTCTATTAGGGAGTTCATCAGCACTGCTATGTCAGTCAGTCACACCCTTCACTACTTCGAGTGGCATAGCTGTGCTTCCAGAAATCAGTTGTGCACATTTAGCCTAACGCTTCCTTATGTCACCAGGGAGCAAAAGGGGGATTGTGGCACCCCACAGTCATTAAGGGCTTTGAAGAGCTTTGAGATCACCAGATAGAAGGAGGCTAACTACAACTGTCCCCTCACACCACACTCCTAACCAGCTCCTCAGAAGGATATGTTGTCAATGTTTAATCTTTCCCTCTCCATATTTGTCAAGTTCTTTGCACGCTGTACCGTCCCAAGACCCAGCACTCGTGGGACCTACTCCTAAGAAGTGTTTCTCCATGGTTTGCCTGGACTCTCTGAGCACCATCGCATTCTTCTACCAGACACCAGTTATTCATAACTTCTGGCTTTTTCTTGCTCAGTCTGCCTGGCTCGGCACACACCACACATGATCAGACATTTGCAGACCATGTCACAAGCAGAGCTCGACAATTCATTTAGAACTCATCTGACTAATTTTGATGCTCTCTCCAGTTGTGAATTGCCTGCCAACAGATCATGATTAGCCTAATTTACTCAGAGTTATTCACCCAATAATGTCTGAAATCATTCTTTGCCCATAGCTTATTTCCGAGCAGTTCATTGCAAGGGTACTATGTTTGGAATTTGAGCTGTTTGGACTGGATGTGCTAGGTAATGTTTGCATCCCCTGATTGTCCAAGTGTAATTCTAGGATCAGATTATTGGTGGGAAGGGTCATTTGCCAATCAGAAAAGTGTCTTCTTTTAACATTTTTTCAATATTCACTTGAAATATGCTATTCCCAGGAGTACTTATTCCATGGAGAGTGAAAGAAAGGGGTCACAATCACATTTAAACAGTATGTTGTTGTTTTTGAAAAAGGCACAAGTATTCAGAGTGTTTTTTATGGAGGGTGGGGAGGATAAGGGGTACACCCAGGTAGTGAGTTTTTCTGACACTGTTAACGTAACACAACTTAAAAACATCCTTTCCTAATATAAATGAGGCCAGACAGGTTAAGGCATTTTCCTAATACCCCAGAAGTCATCAGTGATAAAAGCCAAGACTAGACACCAAGTCTCCTGCCTGCCAGGGCTGTGCCTGCTCCAAAAGGCTGCATTCCTCCTCCAGCACACAGTGAGAGCCTCTCTACAAATACACTGTCTCATAACAACTGTACACCATACATCAAGTAGCTGATCAGTATGGGACCTGGCAGATTATTTTATTGCAATCCTACTCCCACCCTTCCCTCAGCTGTGCTTTTTGTGCCCTCTTCTCCTCACCATTGGCTCAAGGCTTTCCATGCCCTCTCTTCTGTCTGGGGCTCTGCTTTGCACCTCCTAATGAACCCGAGGTGGGCATTAATCAGCACTGCCACAAAGCCTGTCATTTCTTATTAAATTAGAGCTCCTAGGCAGTAAATAAGAGCCTCCTGGGTACAAATTCACCTTCCCCTCAGTGACAGAGCTGGAAAGGACATGCTGAGCCTCATCCATTGCTAGCTGCGTTAGGAGTGCAGGGCACCTCTCTTCACTTATCTCCCTCAGCAAGATTTGAGCAACCCCCCTCCAGCACCCCAGAGACACTCCACCTTGCTTACTTCATTTGAGGATCTATGCACCTGAGCTGTCATTAAAACCAGAACCAACAATGGGAGAGACAGCATTTCCCAAGATCCGCACAAGACGGTAACCCCCAGGCACTGTTTCTCCCATGTGGAATGGGAAGTTATCACCTCCCTGGTACCATTTCCCCATCCCCTGTCCCCCAACAGGTCTATCACCCCTATTACCTTGTGTGAGGTTCTCACAGGGTCAGGAGTCCTGTGGTGGAAAAAGAGGGTGCTGGGCATGGGGAAGGCAGCTGTGTGTGGGCTGGGAGGGAAGTTGCATGCCCTCCCACCCACAGGCTTGGGGAGACTGAGAGGAGACCAGGAGACTGGTCAGGACTTTACCTGGTCTGTGGACAGGAGACTAAAGTGACAAAAACTAAAGTGGGGACCTACAGGCAAAGACCAATGTGTGGATGCACAACAACCTCTGATCCTGGAGTGAACCTGACTCGCATTGGCATGGTTCTAGGGAGGAGTTGAGAAAAAAAGGCATCTTTGTACCATCCTCACTTCTGCTGATCCTGGCACTAGCTGCCCACCAGCGTAAATCAAGCTCAGCAGCTTATGGTTCCAATGGACCTTCCTGAGTATCAGAAATTGCCATGGTGTAAAGAGGCCCCATTCAAGGATCATTCATGACAAGCTCTACTATGACAGTCCTATACCACCATGGGACTCTCTCAGGCTGCAACGGTCATTTAGGCTAGCACTGTCCTGCATTACAAAAGTCAGGTGTATCATTCACAGTAGGATTGAGAATCTGGCCTTTCCACAGAAGGTCCTAAACATTGTTGACCCCTGGGCACTTCCCCTGACTGGTGGTGAGCACTGCAGACTATTTTGCAGGAAGACAAGCTCCACCCCACCCTGACTGAATGACCAGGGGAAGAACTTGCCGAGGGCTGTTCTTGTGGCTTTTAGCAGGGCAGGGGCAATCCAGACTGGTGGGTTGCCCAATGACCATGGGTCCCCATGTCTTATTCAGTCCTGGCTTCTGAAGTCACTTGGAATTTGGCCTAAATAAGAGGTCTAATATTTGGGCTCCTGAATGGAAGTTCACTTGTCCCAAGAAGCCCACACATATCAAATTCAGTCCCAGTCGCAAGTGATCCAGTTGCTTCCCTACTTGTTCTAACATCTAGTTCAAAAGTTCGTTCCTTTTAAAACCTCCCATAAATTTGTTCCAGCCACTGTGCTACACAAAGGTTGGCTTCTCTCTCTGCTTTCCTTCCTACTCCAAATATTTTCTACGCTGGCTTCTTCTCCAGTGCTGCACAGTCTCACCACTTCTATAGCATTCTCATGACGCCTCCTGCATAGCTTCTTCCATATGGCAACACTCTGCTAGAGAATCAAACAGCCAGAGGGAGAAGAGATGCACTTGAAAGAACTGACCCATGAATGACATACCCTACAGAAAACCCCAATGGTCTCAAGAGGAAACAGGGTACAACCAATCTGCCCCCTAACCCAGGGAATTTTACTGTGGTTCTAATTCTGAGTCATTTCTTCCCAGAGCAAGGTAACTTATTTCCAAGACATCTGCTTGTTTCTCCTAGCCTACATTGCAAAGTTTTACCCTAGCATATCTATGCCAGCAAATCCTCCTTCCTCTGGCACAGCCACTCTGACAGAAGAAGGCTTCTGCTGTCAGACCCTCTGCTGTTTACAGACGTGGCATAACAGAGCCAGCAGAAAAGCCCCTGCAGCTGCCATACACTGCACTTCCAACTCAAGGGGTGGACACATGCAACAACTGAACAACTTCAAAATTTCACCACCCATTCACGTGTCACAGGTCAGAGGTATCCACATGTACAGTGCCCTGGCATTCCAGGTAGAAGTCACCTTTTGCATCTAAGGTAAAAGTCCCTGGCTTAGGGCAGATTAGTTGGACTGTGTTTCCTTTTGGCACTGCTAGGGTTTTTCATAGATGTCATTCATGGGTCAGTTCTTCCCAGTGCATCTCTTCTCCCTCTGGCTTGGATTCTGACACCAAGGGGTGGGAATGAGCACCCAGTTCAGCCTGCCTCACAGTGGGTGAGTGGAGTGTGGGGGCAGGAGGGGAAGAGTGCTTGCACTCATGCTTTTCAAGCCCTGGGGGTGAGTGACCTGTAAAGGGCAGTATTTTCACTTTTCTGCTTTCCCTTCTCTCCTAAATACAAATTCAATACAGTTCAGCAGCCTGCACTTGACTGAATTCTGCAGTGTGTTTGCCTGACATGTGGTGCCTGGGAAAGTGGGGGCTGGGGGCCGCCAGAACCCATGTTTTTGGGGTCCCAGGGGCTGTGGGCTGGGGGATGAAGCATGATAAGGGGTTGCAGTCGAGTAGAGTGAGGACAAAGCTGGTTGTTAGAACGCTAGCTTTCTGAATCAGCAGTGTAAAGGAGCTCATTGATAAAAAGTGTCAACAAAAGGTAAAACTAAAAAAGGGGGCAATAGAGTGCTGGCTGTGTACAAAAGCAGCCAGTTAACATCAGTGAGGGGGGAAGAGAAGTGATGCAATGCAGAATTGCCTGGAGGACCAACTAGACCCACATCACAGAACACTTAGTTTCCACACATACTGACCTGGCTCAGGATAAACCAGTTCAAAAACAGTACCGGATTTTCCAGATACACCTTTGAACCATTCCACAGTCTACTAAACCAGTTTAACTGACTTGTATGTCTATCCACATCAGATTTAAACTACATGTATACCAGTCTAACAGTTACATGCATCTATACCCTAAGGCAGTGGTTCCCAAACTGTGGGTTGCAACCCTAAATGCAGTTGCAGCATCAGTGGATGGGGCTGCAGGGGTGGGAGGCTGTGGCTTGGGAGTGAAGGGCCATGCTAAGGAAATGGTGTCATAAACGGGGTCATGCTGAGGAAGTTTGGGAAGCACTGCCCCAAAGGGTCCTGTCACCATAACTCTGCTAGCAAATCAGCAGCTGCACCCAGTAGACAAGTCTGTTGTGCATAGTTGCCCTCAAGGTTTTGCCTTAAGGCTCCCTGTCTAAGGGCAATGCTGCTCCTAGAGCTGTAGCTTGAGATAAGTGTTCCCATCTCGATAGGGCAGACATGGACAATAGCAAACATTTCCACTTTGGCACATGCCTGGCTGAATTGCCAATCTGTTCCAAAATACTGAAGCAGTCTGAGCCTAACTCCTCATTTCCCAGCACCTGGTATCACTTCACATTAGCTCAAAAGGTTTTCCCTCCTGATTTACACCTACTTTTCACAGGTATAAACAATGATGCATGGGGCAGGACCGTGGTGAACCAGCTCATTTATTCCTAGCCCTTTAAAAAAAAGTGTTATGAGCTGAATTGTCTGAATGGCATAGTCTTGCTGATGCAAACTACTGCTCTGACAGCCTCAAAGACTGAAATGGTTTCTTTCTCTATGAAAAAGGGGCTGCAAGAGCAGTGGCAGTGCCAACTTCACTCCCACACTCCCACCATGTGCCTCAGTCTGGCCTGCAAAGATCACCTCCCAGAGCAAGCAGGTACTATACTCCCCGCACCTCCATTCATCTGCGGCCTGCCTTCTAGGCTCATCAACAAGAGATTCAAGTAGTTCCTGTTGTACAGATTTTTTTTAAAACCAGTGGTTTCATACTAAGATTGAATAGAGACCACACATTCACTTCATGTAAGAGAGAGCACTCTGACCACCTCTCAGGCACAACTCACCTAGGCTGAATATGAACTGAGAAGTTTTCAACCTTCTTTTACCTGCTTTAATGATCCCTTGGTTTTCATGAGGATGAAAATGGCGTAGAGTGGTATACATATCATGGAAGAGAGAGCCATCAGCCAGCCCAAAGCATAGCCCCATGGAGGGTATTCGTAGACATTGTTGTATTTAAGAGGTGTGTACTTGATCAGTGAAAACAGGAAGGTCGCCTGGGGAATGGAAAAGACAGCCACAGTCAGAATTCCACACTGGTAAATGATAGGTCTGAAAGAGGCACTGAGAGAGTCCCGAAGAAGGGAAGTATGGCTATGTCAGATTCGCGATTAACTTATCCAGTCATTGCCTACTCCCTAAGTGCTCAGGTTTTGCAAAAGGCATGAAAAGTAAGGACAGTGGTATCACTCACATACCTTCACCAATTTCTTAACCAGGTTTTCATAGACAAGTTTTTCCAAATTTATTTTTAGGTGCAGAATTTGACTTCTATTATTTTGCTGCTTCCTATTCACCCAAACTCACCAGGCGCTCAACACACACACACCTCAACCCCCCACCTCCTTCTCTCCCCGGAACTTAGGGGTTCGCATCTCAGTGCCTTCCACCTTCTGCCATTTGTCTGTCCCTTATCCTAATCCTCAGCCCCCTCCAATTCCTCCTTCCCAATAGGAATCTGAACAACTTGCAGAAAACTTCCTCTCCTATGTACATTGGCTCAATATTCAGGCTGAACAGACATAAAAGCAGTGAGGAGGTATAGGCATCTTGGCTTAGTCATGCTTCTGATCTGACTAGTTCTGAGGAGCTGAAAAAACCTTGGGACACCCTGGTGCCCTTTTGAAAATACTCTGGACGCTGATCTACTAAACCAGTAGTGCTTAACCTCCAGCTCCTGGGCCAGATCCGGCCTATGGAACTGTGCCATCCAGCCTGTAGGATTCCTCACAGGTCCAAAAATTTGGGGGTAGGGGTGTGGTATGTAGCAGTACTTCTTGCCACTTGCCTGCTGCCAAATTTCTGGATCCATGGGGAGTCACACAGGCCAGATGATGTGGCCCTGCATGCTAGATCACTGGTCCACAGTGGGACTGTAAACAAGGTCAACTCCATGGCTGGATCTGGAGCATGGGGTCAGGTTAGCACACAGCCAGATCTAGCATATGAGATTATGGTGGGCCAGCAAACACTGCCGGATCTGGTGTGTAGGATCCAGCTGGTGCATGGGACTGGACCAGCCTATGGCCAGATCCAGCACGCAAAATCAGGCCACCACATGAGATCAGACAGATGCGCCTCCCAATCTGGCATGCAGGATTGGGCTGCTATATGGGAATGCACTCAAGGCCAGAAGATTGAGAACCACTGTTCTAAAACAACTGCCCAGAGGATGCTCAATGCACTGAGCTTGCAAACAGAGATGTGTGGTAGGACATTCACTTATAGTACCCCTCTATGCCATACACACCACCCAATTGTAGGAGTTGGGTACACGTGAGTAGATAGGGCTTATTTCCTCAGAGGAGATCCTGGGCTTGGCAATGCAACAGTATAAATATGGCCTGAAAATCAGTTTAGCAAAACTGGCTTAAAAAAATAGTTAATAACTTTCCTGACTTATATTTTCCTCAAAGATGGTTTCTGGAGGAGCTTTCAAGGAGATTTAATCATATGGAAAGCAAAGGGTAGTAACAAGACATTTTTGAGCTAGAGGGAGTAACAAAAATATAGGCAGAAACAAACATCTCCAAGCAGGTTAATTTTCAATGGTCTGCACTTCAAGAATAATTTGATCAATTCTTCAGACTTTGAAGATGCATTTTGCTTTGCCTTTCAAAATAAACATGCCAATTTTTAGCTAAATGAGTTTTCCAAGCCAAAGAAATCTTTATAATGGAAAACAGCAACCTTAGCTATGAAGAAGCTACTATTATTCCATAGTAATTCTATGAAATTATAGCATGCCTCACAAGTTTTCCTTTTCTGCTCAAATTCCAGGGTCCCTGTAGAAATATACCATGCCATTAAAAGACAGTGTACTTACCAGACAGACACCAGGGGTGAAAACCAGCCAGCATATTTTGATCAGAGGCCATGGCCGGTGACCAATCATGTCCTCAATATTATCATAGAAACGATCAGCACCTTGACCATCATAAAGAGGAGGGAGAGAGAAAGAGGTGAGGCGGCAAGAAGTTTTCAGAAAGTATTCCTGGTAAGTTAAAACCGACTTAACTCCTATTGTTTTCTGCCGGAAAAATGAAAACTCTGACTCACTGCAGCAGAGGATAATTTCGTCTTCCAGGTGCTCAACATCTTTGATATTCAGATGATCTGTTTAAAAACTTAAATATCAAGTAAGATGTCTAACTTTGGACCCCACCCTTAAAATTTTGACTTAAAAAGAACTCCCTAATCTTACTGAAACCCTCCCCCTCAGAATAAGAACATAGGTCTGAAAGCACTTGACAGTCAATGAGAGGAAGTTCTACATATTGTGCATATACATAACTTTGCAGGGAGAAAAATGAAGATTGAAAAGAAATCCTGCCCTAGTAACCAGACTGGCATCTGGGTTTTCAGGTCAAGTGGCCTATCTGATATTTCGAAACAGTGAAACAGCTTTCCCCAGAAATCATTGCTTTCTTGCTTAAAATCAAAAAAGCCGGAAACTAGAACTTTCTGCTAAAAACCAAGCTACTGCAATGCTTCTTGGGAGCTGTATCTGGGATGCCCAGTGATCACCTCACTCTTCTCTATGCAAGGGATCCCCTAGCTAGCCCACATCTTCATGGCATGCTACAGCCATGTGGTCCCCATGATGTGCTATGGTATCATGAAAAATGGACGTATTTAGGAAGATGTCTGGTCAGGCAGTCCAACATGTAAGTAGTGAATGGGAACATGGGCACTCAAATTACAGCTCCCGCTAGTCACCAATGTACCATGCGCAAGTACAGTTTTCTTTTGGTTTTGATTTTAAGGAAAAAAGTTCAATTCCCCCTCCCCCATTTTTTTGGCCAGGGTCAACATTTTCCATGAAAAATTTAAAAAGCAGTTTTCTGAACAGCTTTTAGTTGCCAAATAAGAATATGACCTCAGGCTGGCCTCTTACATTGCACAGCCTTTCCATAGAAGCACATTGTCATGACAGCTATGAAGCTGATAATTCATCCCTGATGTGACAAGGCTGAAGTCAATGGATTAGCATGAATTTTTGCTATATAATTTAGAAGGGGAACCCCCAGAAGATTAGGAAGAGAGCTCTTATGGAAATAGAAGTAAGCCAAACACTAAGCAAGGAGAACACAAAAAGGAAAAGTCCACAACATTCTCATAGCATTAATTACACAGAGTAACAATTTCCTTTTTCAAGTTTCCTCCAGCAAAAACACTGCCCTGCAGTTTCTGTGCCTTCATCATAGGCACTGGATGATTTAGTGGAGCACAATGAGACCTGACATGAATGGACTCAGTATGTCTTTGAATAAGAGGTTTGCATGATCTATATTTCACGAGCAGATGAAAAAGCAATCAGGCTTAAGAAGCCATCAGTTCAGTCGGTCAACGTTTTTTTTAAAGCTAATAAGAAACTGGAGAGAGCAGGCATTCTGTTTTCTCCCCCGTATGTGTTTAGAAGGATTACCTACATATTTGGCTGGAATGACTTTAAAGATCCCCGTTAGACAGATCTCTCTATCTTGGACATCCACACATATAGGCGTTCCCATACTGGAATAGAGCACTAGGCCATGAATGCTGATATCTTGTTTTCTCAGAAGCCCAATTCTGAATATTTCAGAATGACCATTAAGCCCCATTGGCAATTCACCTAATTTTGCAAAGATAAGGAAAGTTTCCTACCAAACCCAGGTACTGACAGATGTATGCCCTGAGACAGCATGATTCTGAGCCTCTATCATTTCTACCCAGTTTATAACTGTGGGTGATATTCATCTTCAAATATTATGTTTTGAATTTGACATTGATAAAAGGAATTAGGTGGACTTCAGTGCATAATTAAGATCCAAAAATAAAATCAGCAACCGTGTAAACTCATACAGCACTTCCCTCTCCAACCTGAAAATCCCCTTCAGTATCTGCAGTTCTACTTCAGGTCACATTCAGAAGTGTTCCCACCTAAGCAGGTGGGTCCCTAGATGTAACTCCTGTTCCTTTGAAGAGAGAAACTGCAGCAGATAGAGCCCAGGTAGCAGAATCCAGGCCAGATGCAAGAGGGATCACTGCTGCCTGGGCTGGGAGTGGTTCAGTAAAGGGGCGCACCTGCAGTCTGCTCGGGAGAACTCTGCTTAGAGCAGCTATTGCAAAGCTGGCTGCCTGACTGGAAGGGCCAGGATTTAGGCATCTTATAAGCCCAGAGTCTGAACTAGAAAGACAGGCTGGCCCTGCCAGCTGCAAAGAGAAGAGCTCCTAGTCTGGAAGGCTGCAAGAGAATGCCCAGCTGACTCCTGGCATGCCCTGGGAATGCAAGTAAGGCACTGGAGGCTAGCTACCAGGGGAATATGATCCATTGGCAGGGAAGAGGTTTATTATACAGTCAGTAGCCTTGGAGTTTTGGGGGTTTTGCTTACAGCCAGAGTGCTTACGTTTTGGTTTGAGTTTTGACCACTGGTTTGGATGCAACTGTAAGGGTGGGGGGTGTGGAGGCCGCAGTGGGGTGCTTGAGGGGCCGCGTTGCAGTTAAGCACAGCAAGGTACTAGGGGCTCACCAGTGGTCTGGAGACCTGCCTGGGGCCGGGCTCAAGATGAAGGTAGCTGGGCTGGAGAGGGCCAGCACCTAAGACAGAGGGGAAGTGAACTGGGGCCAAGAAGGGAAGAGACCAGGGCCAGGGGCCCACAGAGAAGAGGGGCAGTAACTAGGGCCAGGGGCCCAAGAAGGGGCAATGACTGGGGCCACAGGGCCCAGGCAGAGCCAAAGTAGATTTGGTATCCAGATCAGGGGGGCCAGAAAGAGCCGAAGTAGGTTCCCTGCCCAAAGCAGGGTGGAGACAAGACCAGGAAGCCCAAAAACAAAGTAACTGGGAAAAGGGCTGGAGCCCAGAAGCTAGGTCCAACACAGGGGGCCTAGGGTGGAAGGCCCAGCGAGAGTAAAATGGCAGTGGCCAGAAAGGTGGAGGCCCCAACAAAGGAGAATGGCTGAGCAGTAACACCTATAAGGCACGGACACAGCTGTAGGAAAGGTCAGAAGTCATGAATGGACTTAAGACTACAGGTGTCCTGCAGGGCATGAACAGATCAGGAGGGTGCACTTAGCCCAAGAAGGGCAGAACTGAGACCAGCAGCACCTGGGAGGAACGCTCTAAGACCCTTAAGAAGTCTCCCTTTCAAAAGGGCATGGCAGACAAGCAAGAAGGGGAGGGTATGGTAGAGCTGGAGCAGGGCAGGGGTTGCATGATCACCAGAGGGTGTCACAGCCACCCCTGGAACCAGAACCTTTCTTACACTAGGATATGCCCAAACCTAAACAGAATCTAAAAATGATATGGAGTAACACTTACATGCTCAGAGAGCAGGGCAACCCTCAGTTATATCACCCAGGATGCTGATGCTTGCATTTCTACTGAGTCTAATCTGAGAGGAAATCACCATATTGGAATGCAGTGTTCACAAAAACACAAGAACTGCCATGTTGTATTAGTTATGTTATTTCTATCTTAATGTAGCTTCAGTCACTGCTACACCCTGAGCAGATGTCCTCACTGAGCTGACCATACTGGTATCCGTATGTCTCCACTGAGAGGTTAAAAATACTAATTCAGAACCCATCAGTGAGTGGGTACATTTGAAATTATTCCTCTCATCTTGCATTGCTTTGCATTCATCTGCAGTGAATTTCATCTATCCTGGTACTGACTTCTTGAGCTACTTTTGAAACAAGTCATTTCAGTTCAGTGTGTAATAAAGAAAAATGTAAAAGTATTAGCCTCCAGACTGCAGATTAAATTAGAAACCCCATGTGCCCGGGACCAGCTGCAAAGTAATCTGGCACATCAGCCCGACCACGTACTGGCATGATCTAGAGCAGCGTTTCTCAACCTGTGGGGCGCAAGAATATATGAAAAGGTCATGAACAATAATGGAAAAACATGGAAAAATGTGAATGTCACTTGGGAGTAATATACATGTTGATATTGCTGTTAGTGTTTTCCTCTTGATTTTGATTTCTGCCTTTAAAATTAAGACTGTTGATCTGCTTTAACTTGTAGTGTGTAATAAGTATTTGGGGGTCAAAATATGTGTGTGGTTTCTACTTGAACTATTTACTGGGTAGGGACTGGCCATTGATGTTTACAACTGGGTCCTGGTACCAAAAAAATTGAGAACCACTGATCTAGAGCACAGGACCACGTCTTCAAGCCCATGGGCCTCCCCACAGGTCTGATGAAACAGCTTCATGAGCTAGATGTTGCCTGCTGGGCTGGAGGTTAAGCATCTCTGTTGCACAGCGTTTACACCTGCGCAAAATAAGTGGAACCCTTTCATGCCTACAAGTGTGTGTGAGATTGCCCTCTAGTGGCTGACTCACAGAGGATTTGTGCAAGGCTGTGTGTTAGGACCCATTAGAGATGTATAAACAGCAGCTTCTAACACCTGCTCCCCAGCTGAGTGCATGAGAGAGAGAGACTGATTTAAACACAAAAGCCAGAACATGGCTGGAGAATACGACCACCCACAGAATTACCTCGGGCATCGTTTCCCCTCATGTCAACTCTGGTTATCTACAGCAGTCCTAATGGCTTCAGTCTCAGCTCTGCTCTAGCAAGAGGAACCTGTGCCAGTTCTCTCCTAGAACAGTTAATCCCACTGCGCTCACACTGTGACTCTTTGGCATCAGGTTTCAAATCCCAGAGCTCAGAAAACTCATCAGCTTCTTCTACAGGAGGTTTTCTGAAGTGGAGGGGAAAAAATCCTAGCACTTCCCTTTGGCAAATGCAATCAGTATGTTTGATGCAGCGTGATCCTTCCATAGGACTAAAGCGTATATGGGAAATCCTCAGATCCCAGGAACAGCAACAAGCAGGAGGAAGCTGCCAAGTAGTGGGTAGCATTAGCACTGCTGGGAATAGGGAGGCTTGGAATGTGCGTTTGCGTCGGTGATATCGCTGCGACAGTTCACAGCGCAA